ACGGGCTTAACAAATTCAGCTCTTGTCTTCCAAACGACCATAGCTAAGAGGGCTGCTCAGTTAATAACACAGCTTTCTTTGCCATCCATTGGATAAACACATTTCTTTCAGAGTGCTGATCTTAAACAAGTTTGCACACACATTGAACTTAATCGAATTGCACATCTTTATTTCTCCAGATTTTGCACCGCAACAGTGGAAACTTTGCTGATAGAGGGGGAAACTGCTTGTTGGTGATATTTATTGTCTCTGGACTTAAAGAGTGTTTATACACCTTCAGTTCCTCATCATTTGATCTCTCAACATTCTCACCTGGCTCTTGTCCCCCCCCCCCACATCATCATATATATGTTCATAGGTATTACACATACACACACACACTCGATTACTTCAGCTGTGTTAATGGCAGGGGTGCCAACTTAAATGAAATACGGGGGGAGGGGGAACTGGTAAGCCCCTCCCTGCCTAATCAATCACCAGACGCAGCACACGCACACCATGTGAATGGCAGTGCCCATAAACTTGGTGGGGGGCGGCCCCTTCAGTATATTATTGTTGGAGGGGAAGTGAAGAGATCTCAACCCCTAGGAGTTGGCTTCTATGGTTAATGGGCCTTCAGAGGTCTAACTCACCTCAGTGAACGTGGGGCTACAGATCTCACAGCACACGTCACCTCAGACCCAGTTTTTTCCTATGGAGTCAGCTCACACATTTGCAGTAGTGACCTTATGCGCTTGAATGTGTGAACTACCTCTGCTGGAAAGTGCTTTACTGATGTTAGGCAATATGACTGCTCAGTGTGGTCTTTCATCTAGGAATGGCTTTTACACTGACTTCAAGTGATGAGCAGGGTCTCTGTGAGCATACCTGTCTTCATAATACCCCAACAATAAGATTTTTAGGTTGACAAATATGTTTAAGAATGATGTTGAAATAATTGTCAAACGGTATCTTACTCCTGAAGATCATTCTCTCCAAAGGTTTGCACCCTCCGTCTGTTTCCTTAAAGGCATCAAGTTCAGGTATTTGCCAGGGTCCCAAGACTGGTAAAGGATTCATGTTTTCTTCCTCGCTGTTGCCTAAATTGGGAGCGGTTGTTACCTTTATGGGTATGTTCACATTTGCTGTTGCATTTACAGTGTTCTTCATGTCAAAGAGTGTGTGCGTGTCTTCACCTAGCAGGCATAACCTTTTAGGTTTTTCGACCCTGGAACACCTATTTATAAAGCTGTTGTTGTGCATGCACACTCATCTGTGCATGTGAGATTGCTGTCTCAAATGTTTGCATTATGCTAAAGTAAAGAAGTAAATGCAGCTTAAGTTTTCTAGTCAGATTGAAGCTGGCTTGAGGAGGAAAAAACGCATCAAACAGCAGTATTTAGCAATAAACTATAGGATCAATATGGATTGTGGCTAATGTGGTGTGAACACAAGTTTCAAAAACCAACATTAGGAGCACAATGGATGCAGAGTAAGTGGTAATGTGGACATACCCTGAAACATTTTTCAAGTCGCATCCCTCTCTTTGTTTGTTTTAGTTTTATAGAATTTGATAAATTACCATCTTTTAATAATATGCAAGCTAGTGCTGAGGTGAGGTGTAAACTTCTGCATTGTAAAGGTAAAGGGACCCCTGACCGTTAGGTCCAGTTGCAGACGACTCTGGGGTTGCAGCGCTCATCTCTCTTTATTGGCCGAGGGAGCCGGCGTACAGCTTCCGGGTCATGTGGCCAGCAGGACTAAGCCGCTTCTGGCGAACCAGAGCAGCGCATGGAAACTCTGTTTACCTTCCCGCCGGAGTGGTACCTATTTATCTACTTGCACTTTGACGTGCTTTCAAACTGCTAGGTTGGCAGGAGCAGGGACCGAGCAACGAGAGCTCACCACGTCACAGAGATTCAAATCGCTGACCTTCTGAATGGCAAGCCCTAGGCTCTGTGGTTTAGACCACAGCGCCTCCCGCGTCCCTAGAGACTTTTGCGTTAAACAAATACAAATTCTATAAACATGGGGGAGAAAGAATTGAAAGATTGAAGCACCAATAGTGAGTTTTCTAGGTAGACCCTTCAACAAATCTTGGGCAGAAGCCTTAACTGCAGATTTCTTAAGGGTTGTATTCCAACAATAGCAATCAAACCCCTTTTCCATTTAGCTCCCGTGATTCTGGACGGGCCTGTAAAGTAGATGTTTAGTGAGTGGCATGAGATGTTCCCTTTTTTGCTCTTCACTCTGTGAAGCATTTGAGGGCTGGCTACAATCCAAGGTAGATGCATCATTTGCTCAGCGGGAAGAGAAAAGGGCAGGCGGGGGGACATTGTGGGGACCTTTACCAGCTGAGAAAGAAACAGTGAGCAGTAGCCAGTTGCCAAGTGGCCTCACAGTGCCGCAGCTGCTTGTCTCTGCTAAATATAAAGCACTAGCTATCAGGGGCAGGGCGGGGGGACTGGCTGGGGAAAGTTTGGCATGAAATGGCAAAAGGTTTTGAATCCTGCACCAAATCTTCTTGGCTGGGCCAGGGGTTTGGGGAGGCATGCTCAGAAGGGAACAGCAACATTTTCTAGAGGTTGAGAGAAGGACTGCCAAATTTTGAGTTTCCCAAATTCTGGCACTAAGGTGGAGCCAAGGAGTGGAGAATGGATGGAGCCTATCAGAAAAAGAACAAAGAACAGGTGTTTTCTCTGTATGCCTGTGACTGGCAGGTACACTGGACAGAAGTGGGCTCCAGCCCTCACTAAATGTTCATCAACCTTAAAATTCACATCCTCTGCACTGGAGTGGGAAACCTTTTCAGCCTAAGTGGGCTGGATCCTGAGGCCACCCACCCATTATGTAAATCCCTTTAGGGCCTACAACTATCCCCATAATTCACGAAACTTTGCACAAATTACACTCATGGTTTTTAATCAGCATAAAGAAATAACTGTTTATTCTGTTTATCATTTTGACATTCAGTGCACTGAAAGAACATGAAGATTTACAGTACACACATAATGTAGCTTGCCTTGCTAACTATCACCTGTCACTTTTTATTTACATTTATCACCGCCTGACTGCAGACAAAATAGAGCCTCTTTGTAAAGCTAACCATAGCTTTTGATATCTCCTAATGATGAGTTTCTAACTAATTACCCATTTCTAGCGATTTTATATGTGTATGTGCTGGAGGAATGAAACCTTTGAACAGGTCATTCTGTTGTGCTTTGCCAAATGGTTAAGGGCTCTCACATTCTGGGCTCCTACAAATAGCTCCCAGCACCCCTGTCTATTGGCTGTGCAGCTTCTGAAAGTCCACAAGACTCTAATTCCTGCTGTATTCCCTGCACCAGAGTGGTCCAAAGTGCAGCCAAACGGCTTTTTTGGTAGCCCTCCGCAACACTGGACGCCTCCCTGCAGCCCTTGCGCTTCCTTCCCAAAGCCTGGTAAGTGAGGCACTGGGCTTTGGGAAGGAGATGTGAGACTCTGACAGGGTCAACAGTTTCCCAGCTCTGGGAAGGGGGTGGGAGGGTTCTACCAGCCTGCCAAAGCCTCACGCCTCCTTCCCAAAACCTGGTGCCTCCTCTGAGCTGTCTTCTGACCCCCTGTTCCCCTCACACAGCTACAGTTCCCAGGATGGTTTAATAATCCATCTCTCTTCCAAGGGAACTCAGATTTAGATGAATGGCTTCAGAGCTATATCTAAACATCAAATTTAGGCTATGTAGATATTAGTGCTTAAAAACACAGCAAAGTTGTTTCAAGTCACTTTTTTATGTTGCCGTGCAAACTAGTGATGGGGCAGTTAAGCTGCCATCCAATGTACCGTATTTTTCGCTCCATAAGACTCACTTTTCCCCTCCTAAAAAGTAAGGGGAAATGTGTGTGCGTCTTATGGAGCGAATGCAGGCTGCGCAGCTATCCCAGAAGCCAGAACAGCAAGAGGGATTGCTGCTTTCACTGCGCAGCGATCCCTCTTGCCGTTCTGGCTTCTGAGATTCAGAATATTTTTTTTCTTGATTTCCTCCTCCAAAAACTAGGTGTGTCTTATGGTCTGGTGCGTCTTATAGAGCGAAAAATACGGTACATTACCTGATTTGTGTCCATTCACTGAACCCACCTGTCCATATGCAACAGCTGCCTCAAATGTACACACCTCAGCTTAACCATGACTTTCATTTTCAAATCAGATGGAAGCTGGTTTGAGGGAAAACATGTCAATCAGCTGTATTTCTCAAGAAACTACAGAATACAGCTGGGTTGTGCCTAATGTCACTCTGCTTCAAACATCAGCAGTGCGAGCACATTGGACCCAGAATAAACGGAAATATTCACACAGCGTCCAAACTCAGGCATTGTGTACAGAGCTTGCTTTTCTCCTCACAAGTAATAAGCCCAACACCATTTGTTCTGAGAGTTAAAAGGGGAGTGTCTGTTCCCTTTTATGACAATTCGAATTCTACTGTGTTTTGCTTTTTGAATTTAAAAACAAAGGACAACACTGCTGTTTGAACTGGAGAAGGCATTCTAAGGGCAAAGAGGGACAGGACCCTCCAAGAAGCCAAACGCTTCCTGACGACACCACCTGCGCAGCCAGTGGTTTACCTCCAGTATTCTCCTCTCTCTTCCTGGGCCGCAACCTTCAACAGGACGGAGTGATGAGAAGACCACCTGTGCCCCAAGGCTCTTCAGCTATCTGCCCAGAGTCTCATAATCCCATCTGTCTTGCTGCTCCATCGCAGTCGACTCAGCTCTATCAAGAAACTTTGCACGTTGTCCTGCCGCTTGAGCTGTGGGCCTCAAACCGCTGCGCCTTCTCTTTCAGCAAGACAACCAGCTTGCACTTGCTACAAGTGTACTGCTGCATATTCTCTGGCAGAAAGACCAAAATGGCACAGGTGTTGCAAGTCACTGCAGCAGCTGCCTTGCCCTACATGTCTCTTGGTCCTATGCACACTGAGAGACAGTACTCTGGGCCTCCCCTTTAAACTCCCCTGCTAAATGCCCGTACAAAAGCCCCTGTTTGCAGGGTCTGTTTGCGAGCTCACAGAAGCTGCAATGGTCTCAGTTTGACTACTGCTGAGTTGCTGTACCTTGTTGTTAAACTGTTGTAGCCCTGGGGAAAGAAAGGGGTCTAACAAAACTTCGCTGAGCAGAGGATCTTTATCTGATGTAAGGCAGATGTTTAACCAGCATAGAAGATATCTCGCCCAGGCGACAGTCTCTACCTTGTGTTGACCTCCCTCTAGACGCAAGGCCGCATAGGGTACACAGCGTGGGACAGTAAAAATCTTGAAGAGGAAAGCTGCCTGCACCCATTCTACCAACTGGGTAAACCCTGGCGGCCAGACTGGAATACCATAGAGCAATTGAGCTATAATTTTGGCATTGAAGACCTTAAGGGCAGAAGGGATATGAGAATTACCTCTTGTTATGAAAAAATGCATTAGACATCTTACTGGCATTCACCGCCGTTGCACGGTGCGTGGACCAGAGCAGCCTATGATGGAATTTAATTCCCAGATAGTTGAATTCAAATACCTGCTGAAGGGTTTTCCACCAAATACCTAGCTATAGCTCTTGCGTGAATTCCCCCAAACCATTATTTTGCTTTTGTCAAAGTTCATGCACAATTTCATGATTTGTTTTGGATCTTTGTACAGTATGTGATGCCAATAAAAGGTTTGATGATGATGATGACTACTGCTGGCTGTTAACTTTTCCCTCTGTTCACTTCAGTTCACTTTAGTGTTTTGAGATGAAAACACAAAATACATAAAATAAACAAACCAATGACAAACACCTTCTCCCCCCCACAACAAACACATTTAAAAGGCCCTGTCCATGTGAATCAAACAACACCAGAGTAGGGTCAGGATAGATCAATCTAATTATTATTATTATTATTATTATTATTATTATTATTAATTATTTATACCCCGCCCATCTGGCTGAGTTTCCCCAGCCACTCTGGGCGGCTCCCAATCACATGTTAAAAACAATACAGCATTAAATATTAAAAACTTCCCTAAACCGGGCTGCCTTCAGATGTCTTTTAAAAATAGGATAGCTGCTTATTTCCTTCACATCTGAAGGCAGGGCGTTCCACAGGGCAGGCGCCACTACCGAGAAGGCCCTCTGTCTGGTTCCCTGTAACCTCACTTCTCGCAATGAGGGAACTGCCAGAAGGCCCTCGGCTCTGGACCTCAGTGTCCGGGCAGAATGATGGGTGTGGAGACGCAACTTCAGGTATACAGGACCGAGGCTCACAGCTCATACACATTCTGATCACCTTTTCGGTTTTTAGTCTTGTGGTCCAGTACTTCCTGGGGGCTTGTTAGGGAGCAGCGCCAGGTCGCTCAAACCCGAGTCTTTTGTGTTGCATTCCAAATCTCTCTCTATTTTCTACTTTCCTCCTTGGTTTCAAACTTAAAAAATAAATAAAAATAATTACCTGGCTGCTTGGTGTGCTGCAAGGCACAGTGCGGATGAGACCCCACCCAATATTTTAATTTGCTCAGAGACTAAAAAGTGCATATAAATTAGCATATGTGAATTGTATGCAAATTTGTGCCAACTTGGGCACGTGCCCTGAGTCTCCTACTTATCTAGCAATGCTCCTGAGTCCTGTGTTGCTGCAGTCTTCCTGGTGACAAGAGACAGTTGCTCCTAGCGTTTCCCCTTCTTGGAGATTGAAACATAGAGGCAGGACAACAGTTCAGGTAAACAATTCAGACATCCTTCCTAGCTTTGCACAGTATGCTCTGACCACTGTAACACCACTGCTGCAGCTTCTCCTTTGGTTCTGGGCTGCATCAATAGGAGTATAGCATCTAGATCAAGGGAAGTAATAGTGCCACTGTATTCTGCTCTGGTCAGACCTCACCTGGAGTCCTGTGTCCAGTTCTGGGCACCACAGTTCAAGAAGGACACTGACAAACTGGAACGTGTCCAGAGGAGGGCAACCAAAATGGTCAAAGGCCTGGAAACGATGCCTTATGAGGAACGGCTAAGGGAGCTGGGCATGTTTAGCCTGGAGAAGAGGAGGTTAAGGGGTGATATGATAGCCATGTTCAAATATATAAAAGGATGTCACATAGAGGAGGGAGAAAGGTTGTTTTCTGCTGCTCCAGAGAAGCGGACACGGAGCAATGGATCCAAACTACAAGAAAGAAGATTCCACCTAAACATTAGGAAGAACTTCCTGACAGTAAGAGCTGTTCGACAGTGGAATTTGCTGCCAAGGAGTGTGGTGGAGTCTCCTTCTTTGGAGGTCTTTAAGCAGAGGCTTGACAACCATATGTCAGGAGTGCTCTGATGGTGTTTCCTGCTTGGCAGGGGGTTGGACTCGATGGCCCTTGTGGTCTCTTCCAGCTCTATGATTCTATGATTCTATGGTTTTATCTTGCCCCTGCTGCCACTTCTCAACTCTCAGATCCATACCTGCAGAATCCTGTGTTGGAATCCATTGCTGCCACCCACCTCACAGCCGGTAGAAGGGACTCAAGAACTGCCCATCCGTTCTGGAAGCGGAGATGGCCTGCTGTCCACTTGGGATACGTTTGATTCCCCTTGGATGGTTTATCATGAGGGATGGAGAGAAGGTGGCAGATTATTTAGAGCAGGGGTCAGCAACCTTTTTCAGCCGTGGGCCGGTCCACTGTCCCTCAGACCATTTCGGGGGAAAATTTAAACGAATTCCTATGCCCCACAAATAACCCAAAAATGCATTTTAAGTAAAAGCACTTTCTTCTCATGTAAAAACACCAGGCAGGCCCCACAAATAACCCAGAGATGCATTTTAAATAAAAGGACACATTCTACTCATCTAAAAACACGCTGATTCCCGGACTGTCTGCAGGCCGGACTGAGAAGGCGATTGGGCCGCTTCTGGCCCACGGGCCTTAGGTTGCCTACCCCTGATTTTTTTTAAAAAATATATATTTTATTAAGGATTTTCTTGTTTTACAGAAGTGTAGTGCCTCGTTGTTTTTTTTTAATGTAACATTTTTACAAATCCGTTTCATTTGTTGAGGCATTAGGGGGAGAAGAAAAAAGAAAGGGGGGGTGGAGAGAGGGAAGATGGATGGGGGTGGGGTCAGGTGGCGGTGTTTCTATTATGTTTAATGTATGTAGAGTTTGGTGTCAGCGTTGCTTGTGCTGTTCATTTGTGTTCCTTTGGTGGTGAGAGAGGTTGGGGTTGGCCTAGGGTGTGGTTGTTTGCTTGTGATTGGCTGTGGTGATCTTTGTTTTCGTGTGTGAGTGAGGTGGGTGGGTGTTTTGGATCAGGTTAGCCATATTGATTTGTATGCTGTTGGTGGATTATTGTCATTGTCCTGTTGGTCTGTGTATGTGATAAAGGGGAGCCATACCGGGGTGAAGGCGTCTTCTTCTGTTTGTCCCCGTGTCAGTTTCAGTTTATTAGTTAATTTTTCTAGTAGGGCATGAACCTTCAGGATGCATTGTGCGCATCCCAGCCTTCCCTGGCCAGGATTTCCCCAACATCTCTAGTTACAACTAATTGACAGCAGAGGGAGCACAAGTGTAGGTAAGGCTTTTACAGCTGCTTTCTCCTCCTGTACAAGCAGCCTCCTCTGGCGATTAAGACCCTTGGGATGGATTCTGATCCAAGCTCTATCTCACGCGGAGCCTGGAAGGGCCATGATGGACCTAATCCAGCACCCCTCTTTCCTCAGTGACCAACCAGATGACACTGCAAAGCCCAAAGCAGTAGTACCTCAGTTCAGCAGCACTTTTCCTGCTTCTTTTCCCCTGCGACTGGTATCCAGAGGAATGGAGGAAATATATATCCTTACAAAAGTTGGGTGCCTGCCCCTTTCTCTGTTAAGTGGTGGAAAGAGCCAGGTGGGGTCTGTGCTCCATGGAGAATTGAAGACACGGCAGAGACTGCTGTGACTTTAAGAAATATGGTTTGTTCGCCCATTTACACCTTCAGTCTGCATGGAGGGAGTCCAGTTCTTGCAGCATAGTCGTTTCAAAAGGTGCTTGTACCCCACAGAGTCCAAGGCATCTCTGCCTTTAGCCCTGCAGCCAGCCTCTCCCAAAGATGGATCTCAGCTCTTCTTCCTCCTTCTTCCTCCCAGCCCCGCTTGCCCCCTGTGGAGGAGTTAACTCTGGTAACCTTCCAAATCCCCATCTCTGTTAACACCTGGGGCAAGGGGGAAGGAGTTCTCTTGTATTGTTAAAGGTAAAGGGACCCCTGACCGTTAAGTCTAGTCACGGACGACTCTGGGATTGCGGCGCTCATCTCGCTTTACTGGCCGAAGGACCTGGCATTGGTCCACAGACAGCTTCCGGGTCATGTGGCCAGCATGGCTAAGCCGCTTCTGGCGAACCAGAACAGCGCACAGAAACGCCGTTTACCTTCCCGTCGGAGTGGTACCTATTTATCTACTTGCACTTTGACATGCTTTCAAACTGCTAGGTTGGCAGAAGCAGGGACCGAGCAACAGGATGCGGGGATTCGAACCGCCGACCTTCTGATCAGCAAGCCTGATAGCCATAGCTCAGCCAGGTTGTTTTGCATAAGCCAGCCCAGGAATTCATTTGCAGCTTGCATTCTCCCTTCATATCACAAATAACCAAAATCTAGCATTTATTAATTTCTAGGTTTTAGGGGGTTACCCCCCCCTAAATCTATAACAATATATTAATCATGGCTAGTAGCCACTGAGAGCCTTAACCTTCCAAGCTGGTGGCCACCACTTTTATTATTATTATTTCATTTGTATACCACTCTTCACCCGCAGATCTCAGGGCAGTTCACAACATAAAAATACAAATAGAAAACACACAATACATAATAAAAACAAGAACAAAAGCAAACTAATAACCCCCTCCCACAAGCACATTTAAAAGGAGAAGGGTTGATAATCAGCCAAAAGCCTGGTTGAAGAGGAACATTTTCACTTGGCACCTAAAGGTACCGTAAGAAACCTTACGCACCTAAGAAACCTTGGCACCTAAAGGTACTGTAAGAAATTTTAGGTAATATATATATATATATATTCATAACTGTATATATAAACCACATGTCTGAAACCCCATAGAAAAGGTCCTGAACAAATTGACCTCAAATATTTCTCTGCAAGGTCAAAGTGGGAAACCTTCCCATTGTCTCTTTCCTCACAAATCCTGCCCTCACAAATCCTGTCTTAAGAACACATTCAAGATATGAACAGGGTGTGAGCCTGTGACCTGGATTCAGGAATTAAGTAGTTATAATAACAAAAGAGTGGCCAAAACCCAGATAATACAATCAAGTAACCTGGCAGACAGGAGATAAACGCACTCAGATTTCTGTTGTAGACCGCCTTTTCTGTGATGTAGGTATGATGTACCTGGGGGGTGGTCTTGGGCTACACCCCTTCTGTGATGTATGTATGATGTTTATGGGGGTGGTCTTGGGCTACACCCCTTCTGTGATGTATGTATGATGTTTCTGGGGGTGGTCTTGGACTCCAGGGCAGGCAATTTAAAATGTCTATATAAGGGCGGGCACACCTTGGTTCTGGGTCCTCCTCCTCTCTCCTGTGTGCAGGGGGGGCGCACCCTGTTGCAACAGTTAATAAAGATCACGCTTACTAGCTGCTTTGCTTCTCAATATTCTCTAGTTGGTCTGTTATTTTCTCCTACTGATAGAGAACCTGCAAAAGGACTCTATATGGGCTCTTGGGTACC